GTTATGGATGGTTGTTAGCCACCATGTAGGTGCTGGGAACCAGTCCTGGATCCTCTGCAAGAACAACCAGTGCTCTTAACCACTGAGCCATCTCTCTAGGCTCTCATAGGGCTTTTGAGGAAAACCACCTTAGGGGCTGAGATACCGTGTGTGAGCCGGCTCCTGACCTTGGCTGTGAGCTGTGTCTGGTGTGTGGATGCTGGGAGGTACCAGGAAGGAGCCCCGTGCTCTGCTGTGTACAGCATCTCCAACTTTTTTGCATTCATAGCTCTGCAGGGTTTTGTGACCTAAGAGGGAAAAGTCTCTTCACAAAGCATTAAAGGAACACCAGGCTGCAGTTAGGCAGCAGTCAGCTGTGTTTGGTGCCTCTCTGGGTGGCTCTGCTGTCCCAGGGCCTGTTAGGGTCAGGCTGGCATGTGGCAGCAAAGGTTGTATGCCTGTCAGCAGGGGCAGCCTGGGCCAGCCAGTCTTGGTCTGTGCCACTGGAGGTCCTCTGAGCCAGCTCTTGGGGGCGCGTGGCTCCTGTGGTGTCCCTAGTGTGCTTTGTGCCTGCTTTCCTGGCTTACCCTCGCTCACTGGCTCTGTCCGTGTGGGCTCAGCACAGATCTAGCTATGAAGGCTTGGCCTCTGTGCCTGTTTTCGCACACTCTCCCTGAAATCTGAAAGCCATTTGTGTTGGTGGGGGTTAGAAGGTTGGAGGTGGGGGAGGAGGAGTGAATGGGCACACAGCTCCTAGGCCCCTGCAGAGAGAAGAGAGCAGAATTGAGTCCCTCTGAGCTGCCCTCACTCCATCAGGCCGAGAATGTGCCCAGGGCTCTTTTCCTCACCCACAGAGGGGGTGCATGTTTGAAAAGTGTGGGGTAAGGTGGGAGAGGGAGGAACCCTCAGCCTGGGTCTAGACTTTGTGCTTAGGTGAGGGGGAAGATGCTGGGTGAGTGCCTTTTCTCAGAGTGATGGTTTCAGTCTGGAAATGCCTGTTCTGTGTGTAGTTGACGACTTGTGTTCTGTGTTTTGGCTTAAGATGAAGGGAAAAGTGGTAATAAGAGATCAGAAAACCTGTAAGGTCAGGGCAGGAGGAAGAAGGATGGACCACTGGGGTCTCCCTGAACTCCAGTGTTGGGAATAGTAGGATTCTCTTACTATGTGAGGGCTGGCAGTTGTGCTCAGGACTGTGGGGGTGGGATGGGTCTCTTGAGAAAGCTTGTGGCCTTGTGAAGTCCCTTGGAGAGGCACTGATAGTTGCTGCCTGGTCCAGGGTAGAGGGAGGCCCAGTGTTCGCTGTCCTTCCATCTCCCCATTCCCTGCTCCTAAACACCATGGCTTTTCAGAATTGCTGGTGGACCTCACACTGTTTAAGACCTGTATTTTCACAGTAAAAAAAAAGAAAATGGCCTGCATCTTTACCTGAAAGGAGATCGTAAATGTATTTTGGATTGTGTATTTTATGTTATAGCTACTGAAAATTAAGTCTGAGGATGTTTAGTGACAGAGACCTATATGAGAAGTGCAGAGAGGGGCTTGAGAGGTGATTCAGCAGTTAAGAGCACTTACTGCTTTTCCAAAGGACCTAGGTTTGGCTCCCAGCACCCACATGGCAGCCAACACCCATCCTTACCTCCGGTTCCAGGGAATCCGATGCCCTCTCCTGCTTTGTGAGTGCCAGGCACACACATGGCACACTTACACAGACAAAACACCTCATAAAGTTTAAAAAAAGTGCAAGGAGAACACAGTGTGAGCGTGAGCTTGGCTTTCTTCACGTTCATCAGGACTTGTGGCTTTTGCGTGTGTCTAGGACAGACACTGGGGACTGTCCCCCATATTGACCAAACGGGGATTCAGGACGCTTATGTTTTTTTGTACTGACCCCTCTCTGCATGTCTCAGAGTTTCTACAGTGAGCACTTCAGATGCTAACAGCACTAAGCCTGTACGTAGCTCCTCTGGATGCAGCTAGATGTGAATCTGGCTGTACACACTGGCTGAGCGAGAATGGAGAGTGGAGTCTAGGTGCACGGCCTCAGTTTTCATCCTTCCCTTCTGATGGCTGGGTGAGTGGAGCCCTATTGGCTCCTGAGTGACCTTGCAATGCGGGAACAGGGATGTTACTGTGCTAGTCTACTCCAGATGATTCTCCATGCCTGCCAGCTGTGTTGTGTGTATGTGAGGACTTGCAGTGTGGACCACACAGGGCTGGACACAGTGGGTGACTGGTCCTTCCCAGCTGCTCATGAGCTGCACCACCACCACCATGCAGATGCAGAGGGTGTTGCTGCTGGAGTGAGGAAGCAGTGGTCGTCACATACAGTGTTCAGACAAGCAGATTATTTTTCTACAGTGTTTAAACTTGAACTGGTCTGCTGCAGTTTGAGGCGGAGTGACCTTTGCTTCTGCATGCGGTGCTGCTCTGTGAAGCCGTGAGAACCAGAGCTGCACTTGTGGGTGATGCAGCTGCAGGCACCATTGTGGGGTCACTTCAGTTTTGTATATCAGCCTTTGCTTCTGTCAGGACCAGTGACTGCTCCTTTGTTTGGGGCAACTTGAGATCCCTGTGAGGATGTGGGTGAGGTCTGTAGCCTCTACATCTACTCCTGCTGCCCCCCCCCCATTACCATCTCATACCCAGTTGATACTTTTAATGCCTAAGACTGTTAAGGTACTTGCTTAAAGTCACATAGTCACTTCTTGGAATAACTTTAGATAATTTTCCAGCTTTACCCTAACTACAGCCATATTGGCTATGTCAAGAGGCATATTAGCCCTGACTGGGGCCCACCACACAGCTCACAGACAGTTTCCTTCTATATTTATGATGTTTAAAATGCCACTTTGGCCAGGAGTGGTGGCATACACCCTTAATGAGCACTCAGGAAGCAGAGGCTGGTGGATCTCTGAGATTGAGGCCAGCCTCGGCTACAGGGAGTTCCAGGACAGCCTGGGCTACAGGGAGACACTGACTCAAAAATACTTAAAATAGGGGCCAGGCGTGGCGCATACCTTTAATCCCAACACTCGGGAGGCAGAGGCAGGTGGATCTCTTTGAGTTCAAGGCCAGCCTGGTCTACATAGGGAGTTCCAGGCCAGCTGGGGCTACAGGGAGACCATCTCAAAAAGACGCACGTGCATGTGCGTGCGTGTGTTTATTTATTTAAAATAAAAAACCCAGAGAACAAAAGTGCCACTTTGACCTTACTAGGATTTTAGCCCAATTGCTGTTTCATGAATATTTCGAAATACTCCTGTGACTTTGTGGCTATAACTTCAAGGAGAAAGGCTTCTGGTAGGTAGCCTTTTTACTAACGTGGTGGGTTGAGCAGATGGTGTTGGCGTGGCTCTTCTGGGGCCCTGGTGTTGGGAGCCGTCCTCTCCCTCCATGGCTCCTGCAGGGCAGTTCTCCAGCAGGAACTCCTGCTTTCAGTGGCAGTGCAGCTGACAGCACGCACCCGCTGAAGCTCCTGACCTGGGCGTTCTGCATGCACGCTATGCTGTTGGAACAGAGCCGTGGTCTTGCTGACTGAAGTTTGAAGCACTTGTGTCCACTCGTGCTTGAGCCCCAAGGAGGGGAGGGCTTCGTAGAGTGAGTTATTTCAGTTTGGGGTTTATTTAGAAAGAGGTGCTCTGGGGCTGGAGAGATGGCTCAGCGGTTAAGAGCACTGGGTGCTCTTGTAGAAGACCTGGGTTTGTATCCCAGCACCCAATGGCGGCTAACAGCTGTCCATAACTCCAGTTCCAGGGGATCCGACGGCCTCTTCTGACCTCTGTGGGCATTGCATGACACGGGTGTACTTACCTGCATGCAGGCAATACATGCACACACATAAAATAAAAATAATAAATAAAATAGTAAAAAAAAAAGATGTTCTGGAGGGACATGCCTCTCCTTAATGGATCAAGAATCTAGTGAGTTCAACAGAGGGTTTACTGTTTTTTTCTGGTAGTGTGCTGTGTTTTGAAAGATCTCAGAGCCTGACAGCATCAGATTCTTCCAGAACTTGTATGATTGTTCTGACCTGTCCCCCAGAAGCAGAGCCCAGGGTCTGCTGGGTGTGTAGCCCACAGGAGCTTCCAGCCCTATTTCTCCCTAGGGCTGTTGTTCTCACTGAAGATGGGGGCTGGGAGGCCGCAGGCTGGGGCGAGGGGTCTCCTTGTGTGGTGTTCTGCAGCTGTGCTGGGTCATTGCTGAGGGCGTCTGAGGCCTGGTGCGTCAACACTGCTCCATTGTGGGAAGCTGGATTTAAGACAGGTGTATTCCTCTTTCTCCTCAAACTTGGGATCTAATTGGCTGCTGGTTTTTGCCACCCAAATTAGTAAAACCTGACTGGTAGGATTTGCTCTCCCAAAGTTTACTCCAGAGCCTTGAAGACCAGGCTCTTGTCCTGGTCGCTCTGGACAGTGCCTGAGTGTCGTGGGCATCCTGATCACCTGGGGGACAGCACAGCTCCCACACTTGACCAGAGGAGTGTTCCCACAAGGAACAACGAACCACGTACCTTGCTGTTTGGTTTGGAGGTTCTGGGGCGTCAGGCTGGGGAGACTTGAATGTGGACTACAGAGGTGGTGCTGTCCTGCAGGCAGAGGCAGGACCCCAGTACTAGGAGTGTACGTGAGTGTGTTGGCTAGCTAGGTGGGCATCAGAGGCCTGGCCTGGGGGGTTTCTGCCATTCTGTGAGTGTGGGCAGGGTGTCGGTAGCTAGACGCTATGCCTGGGCTCACATCTGAAGAGGGTGGCTTGTGGGGTGCTGAAGGACTGGAGCTGTGGTCACTGAGCATGGCTTTGCTGCTTGGTTTGCCTGTGCGATCGATGGGTGCTGGAGTTGTGGTCGCAGTGTCTTTGGGCAGCCTTTGGTGCTCGTCCTGGGCTCTGTCTTCGCTGTTTAGCTGGGTGCTCCGCAACCTCTCATATGCCCCTCCTATAGCTAGCAGTGCCCCCCCCCCCCACCAGGGTCTTCCCTGTGCTGGAGTAGGAACACTTCCTGATGCCAGGTCTCATTTGTCCCCCAGGAATGGTCCTCGTGCGGAGCGAGAATGGGCAGTTGTTAATGATCCCTCAGCAGGCCTTGGCCCAGATGCAGGCCCATGCCCAGGCTCAGCCTCAGAGCACCATGGCACCCCGCCCTGCAACCCCCACAGGTGCTCCACCTGTCCAGATCTCTACCGTACAGGTGAGTGCATGCGTGGTGAGTGGGCCAGCTTGGGGCACCCTGGCCCAGCCTGGCTCTTGCCCATTCCCTACCACCATGCACACTGGGGAGGCTGCAAACATGAAGGTGTGACCTTGAGTGGTGCCACGGCACATAGGCACCTCAGATGCCTCCATCAGACAGGGGCCAGGTTGGCTCTGATCGCCCAGCCTCCTGACTGGGACCATGCCATCTTGGGGGAGCCAGCTCCAGTGGTCATTGTGCTCAACATGGTGACTTGAGTCGGGTTAGAGAAGACACTCAGGGCCAACTGCCCAGTTGAAGCCTCCCCTTCGCTCTTGCCGCCTGTGGCTTCACCTTCCTGTGCCCCAGTGTCCTCGGTAAAGTGCAGGTCAGGGAGCTCCCAGCTCACGAGATTGTCCCAAAGACATAGTATGTTTGAAGTGTTGAGAGTGAGTAATGGAGGGGAGCACGGGGCAGGCAGCTGTCCACTGCTGTTGTCTGTCAGGCAGCACAAGAATTGACAGCGCCATCCCCACCCCCAAGCCCAAAGCCATGGATCTTGATGCTGAGTTAGTGGGGAAGATGGACCTGGATGCCAAGAGCCCTGATTGTTCTCAGCAGGCTCCTCATCCTGCACCAGGACTGGTGAGGGTGTGTGCCGGCATGCCTTCCGCCCGCCGCCTTTCCAAGCTGGCCGGCAGCTGAAGGGATGGCGGGTCCAATGACAGTTCTCTGCTCCCTCTGGAGTTGTGTCTCTGTGCTGCAGATGGGGTGTGTGTGCTGGAGGCAGGCAGAGCTCCCCCATCTGAAGGAGCATAGAACACATCCTTTGAGCCCCCCCACCCCAGTTGGAAGCATGGGGGCTGCATTTGTAGATTTTCTCTGGTGGTGGGCTGTCCTGCCTCACCTGACCTTTACGTCTCTGCTCACACAGTTCTGCAGCCATCTTGACTCCAGGTGTCTCTCCATCCTGGTTGGCCCCCAGCTTCCCCATGTGCAGCTGGTGGGTAGGACTCGGTGTCTTACCACCTTCAGTGCAGTTCAGTAGCACCCTTGGAGAGCAGTGCTGTGGCTGGCTTTCCAGAAGCCATCCGCTTTTAAAGACTGTAGGCTTCGTTAATAAAGTCCAACGGTGTCCTTAGGGCGTTCTGTGAGACATTCTGATCACACACCTCTTTGTGGTTAGAAGGGGTAGAGTGGCTTCCTTGTTAGGTTAGGAGTGAGCTGGGGGTTCTGTATGTATTTGAGTTACTTTTTGTGTGGGGTGGCAGGTCACCGTAGCCGGTTTAGATGACTCCCAGCTTGTTTTTCAGGCTCCCGGAACGCCTATTATTGCACGGCAGGTGACCCCGACTACCATAATTAAGCAAGTGTCTCAAGCCCAGACGACGGTACAGCCCACTACAACCCTACAGCGCTCTCCCGGGGTACAGGTAAGAGGACGCAGCCTGGTGCATCTGCAGGGCTGACGGAGCATGTTTTTGCTTTGCTGCAAAGACTAGACTTTGGAATTTTTATATTGGATGCCAGTTTGGATTTGAGGAGGCAAGCTCTCCATGAACAAAGTGGTTTTTCTGTGACAGCAAATGCAGGATAGACCCTTTTCTTTGAAAACCAGACAATCTAGCATTAGCAGCACTTCAGAAGCTGTTCATGAAGTGTAATTAAAAATACTGCCTCATTAACATTTGACTTAGAATATCTTTGAGGCCGGAGAGTGTGTGGTAAGGAGACTGTGTGCCTCTGTGCTGTGGCTCCATTACACGCACACTCACAAACAGTGTTAGTGCTGTGCTGTCCAGGATGTCCTCTCCTCTTGGTGACATGTTTGTAGGTGAGTTGAGGGAGGCTCTGCCTGGTCTTGCTTTTCCAGTGTGAGGTGTCTCCAGCCTCACACAGCTTCTAGGCCACACTGCCTCCCTGTGGCCTGTGGCCACGAGGACAGCACAGTTCAGGAAATGATCACCTTTCTGTTCTTTCTCTCCCTCCTTCCCTCCCTCCCCTTCTTCCTCTTCCTCTTCCTCTTCCTCTACCCCCTCTTTCTCTTCTCCCCCTTCCTCCTCCTTGGTTGGCCTGGAACTCGCTGTATAGGTCAGGCTGGCCACACACTTGTAGTGATTTTCCTGCTTCTGTCTCCTGAGTGCTAGTTGTTTTTTGTAAAATTATATATATATGTGTGTGTGTGTGTGTGTGTGTGTGTGTATGTATGTATATACATGTATATATATTTTGGGGGGCGGATCTTTTTGAGACAGGGTCTCCCTGTAGCCCCAGCTGTCCTGGAACTCATTATGTAGACCATAGACCAGGCAGGCCTTGAACTCACAGAGATCCGCCTGCCCCTGCCTCCTGAGTGCTGGGATTAAAGGCGTGCACCACCACGCCCGACAATATATATATTTCTAAAAAATTTTTGTTTGTTTTTGTCTTTTTGAGACGGGGTCTCCTTGTAGCCCCAGCTGTCCTGGAACTCACTATGTGGACCAGGCTGGTCTCTAACTCACAAAGATCCACCTGCCTCTGCCTCCCAAGTGCTGGGATTAAAGGTGTGCGCCACCTTTTATGTGTATGAGTGTATTGCCTGCATGTATGTGAGTGCACCCGTGTTGTGCAATGCTGTGGAGGTCAGAAGAGGGCTTCAGATTCTCCTGGAACTAGAGTTAAGGACAGTTTGTAGCCACTGTGTGGGTGCTGGGAATCGAACCTGGGTCCTCTGCAAGAGCAGTCAGTGCTCTTAGCCACTGAGCCATCTCTCCAGCCCCGTAAAATAATATTTTAAGCTGCAGCAGGGGAGAGTGTCCTGCACATACTGGCCTTACCTGGTACAGGCTGATGCCCCTGAGGTACCAAAGACAGGAGCTTACATACCAGTTGGCCCCTCTATTGCAGATGGTAGTGCAGATCTCTAGTAGAGAAAAGAACTGGGCGGGGAGACACACCGTGCCACCAAGGACGGCATGGCTGGTCAGAGGAAAGGTCCCTGGCTGGGGAGGCAACTGTCAGGGAAGTCATCTCCCTGGGCAGTCATTTGGGAGTGGGTAGGAAGCACAGTGACCCCGAGGCCTCTGATGGGGTTGTATTTGTGAGTACTCATACAGTTGTGGTCTCTATAGTGAGGCACTTACCACGCTGTGCCTAGGTGCTGTGCCTGCTTGCCTGTGATCTTCTTACCGTGCTCCTGGGTAAGCTGCACCTCTGTCCCAGTGGGGACCTGAGGCTGGGTGCTGGGCTCTGGGGCAGACCTACACATAGGCTTTAAAAACTTTTCTTGGCGCCCAGCTCTTTCACTTTGGTAGCTGCAGGGATTGATAGACGCTAGAAGAGTAATTCTGCCCAGGCAGCTGGAAGGCAGCAGAGGTTTGTGCAATTTGGCAGCGGGCTCTAGGAGGCGGGGCCTCCTGAAGACCTCCTGAAAGCCCAGCCCTGTCCACATCTGATCGGAGCACTTACTTTTCTGATGAGCGTGGGGCATTCTGTGAAAACACTCCTGGTGAACTCTGTGTGTCATGTTCAGTGACGGCAAACGTGTTGGAATAGGTAGACAGAACCTCCTGTTGGGACTGTAGGAGTCCGGCGGGGAGTAGTTTTGAGGTGAAAGCAGCTCTCCTGGTGAGAAGCTCTGGGATGCTCGGCTGCTCCAGACCCGCTGCGCTGAGTCAGCCTCGTGGTTTATTCCTGCACACTCTCTACACATGGCTTTGTTTGGGGGTTTCCAGTCACAAGGGCAGTGCATGCTTGTTGTCTCGTGTGGACACTCAGTACCGCTAAGTCTGTTCTCACTTTGGAGTGACCTGGGGAGGCCCAAGAGACCTGAAGTGGGTCAGTGCTGGTGCAGCACTGCTTCTAAGCAGCTGTAACTGGACTGTTCCAAGAGCTGTGCTCTAAGGAAGTGAGGACTTGCCTCCCAGTGCTCCAGAGCTGTCCCTTGGCGGTGGGGTGTGTTACACCTTCAGAAATAGGACAACACGTAGTATTCACAAAACTGGGAGTGATGTTGGCAGCTGATAAATAAATTGGAGAAGCATCAAATTAAAAGTCAGTAAATATTTATGTCATGATTATTCAAGTAAAGCAGAAATCTTAGAAATTTGACTGACGGTCAGTGGTTTGGATTGCCTGAGTTGTTTGGAGTCTAGCTGCCTAGCAGATGTCCCTGTGTTTGGCTAAGCAGCACCTCTCCGCAGACAGTGTGACCAATATCAGTGACCCAGGTCCTGCACCTCTGACTTCTGTTTGGTGTGGCTTTTTGACCCGATTTACTTTTGGAAAGCAAAGGGAGTTGTTGGTACAGGTGGTTGAGCAGCGAGTAGAGACCCTTCCCCTGCCTTAGTCCTTTTTGGCCCCTGTAGGAGGGGCTGTGCACCTGTAGATCATAGCTGCCTTGGAGCCAGGGTTCTATGTGAACAGATCGAGGGGTTCTTAGGAGCGGCTTTCCCATGAAGTTCTGAGATAGGACTTGACTCTGTTATCAGGTGCTCAAAGATTGCCCTCGTGACAGCTGCCAGCCTCTGCTATATATTGTTTTTGTTGTTGTTTTTGAAACAAGGTTTCTCTGTAGCCCTGGCTGACTTCGATCTCACAGATGTCTGGCTGCCTCTGCCTCCTTAGTGGGAGGATTAAAGGCATGTGCCACTGTGCCTGGCCTCTGACACAGAATCTTTTCAGCAATGTACTCAAACTATCAGGTTTTACCACAGGTGTCAAACATCTCCCTGCTATTTAACTATGATCCTCAGAGGTGTGGGTCTGCCATGGGCGCCCTGACTGTAAGTGGCTCCAAGGTGTGTGACCCGCTGGCAGGTGGGGAGCCATTTGGGCTTCCCCCTCTCTTCCAGAAGATGTGTTGTTTCCCTGGACTTGAGGTTGGGGTCTTGTGTTGGTGGTGGGAGATGTATTTACCTTGTGTTTTGGACTCTTCTAGCCTCAGCTTGTTCTGGGTGGTTCTGCCCAGACAGCCTCACTTGGGACGGCGACAGCTGTTCAGACAGGGACACCTCAGCGCACAGTCCCAGGGGCCACCACCACCTCCACAGCTGCCACGGTAAGAGCTGCTTCTCTCAGGACCTCCTGGGACACATCTGGCCCATCTGTACTAGTGGGAAAATGGACCTGTGAGATATCCCATCGTCTTTTCAGACAGTTTGCTGTACAGCGGGATTTGTCCAGTTTGGGACATAGAACCCGAGTTGAGAGCATTGTGGCACACAGGAGGCCTGTGTGAGAGCTTGGGGCTCCATCTTCCCCTTGTGGGGTGGGGCCCAAGGGGCTACCGGGGAGTGGCAGGAGAGCACCCTGAGCATCTGCTCAGGACCTGGGACCCTGTAAACCTCCATGGATGTCCATGTGGCCACTGGCTGCCTGTGGTCTGTGTAGCAGTGCTGCTGTCGGACTGCGTTTCCTTCTGTGGATCTTCAGACAAGCTCGGGTCTGGCAAAGTGTTTTTTACCATTTCTAGAAGCCACCGGGGACTTAGGCTTCTTGTACACGTGTAGATGGGCCGCCAGTGGCCTCTGCTCCTGATGAGCAGCGTTACGGTCTGCGTCCAGCAGGGTGTCCTTTCACATCATGGCTGCTTTGGTTGCATTCCTAAAAGGGGTTTGCTTGGCTGAGATGCAGGCCTGTTGGCCTTTGGAGTGATTGATGGCCCTTCCAAGGAACTCCTTGTGCCCTACCAGCTTGTACAAGAGATAGCGTACTCCTTGAAAGATGTTTAGAGGCGAAGTTCACATGCCTTTCAGACCTGTCATATTTAAGTAATGAGAGACCATGATAAAAAAAACCTCCTGTGATTCACATCTTTTTATTTTAATGCAGGAAACAATGGAAAATGTGAAGAAATGTAAAAGTTTTCTATCTACGTTAATAAAACTGGCATCCTCTGGTAAACAGTCTACAGAGACAGCAGCCAATGTGAAGGAATTAGTTCAAAATTTACTGGTAAGAAGCTCAGGTGCAATGCCTCATCTCAGAGCATGGTGTGTGGCGTAGACCTCCCATGCCAGGGAGGTCTGGGTGGGCAGGTGAGACCCTGGAAGGTCCTGGAGGGGGAGGGTGTGCGCGCCTGTCAGAGTGTGTGGCTTGCTTTGCCTGAGGTCTCTGGCTGGCACCCCGACGCTGGGTTTATGTGAGGAGAGTCAGTGCTAGGAGAGCAGGGCTGCAAAACCTCTTTAGTAGCCGTTGGTTATGACTTAAAGCACGTCTGACGGCCGGTGCTCCACTGTGGCAGTCAGCTTTCTCTTCCCCTTTCCCGTTTGGCTTGATTTTAGCCAGATTTTAAACCTGAAGGATGTAGGCAGGTCCTTAATTCTAGTTTGTGAGCACACAGCCTGTGCCCCGGCCCTTGCAGCCTCGTCCCCTCCTGTACTGTGACTATTTTGGTACTGGTCTAAGGATGCCTGTGCTTCTTGGGAGCACTGTGAGGCCAGGTGCTGCCAGGTGCAGCTCTCCTCTGGCCTCTGCTGTTGCCTGGTGCTCCTGTTTTCCTGACCCTATGCGGATGTTTGATACTGGCCGCTAGTTCCATTGAGGGTTTGAGCTGTGTTCATGCATTGACTGTCTCTCTGGACCTGAGCCACCCCTCCCTTGCTGTTTTCTTCTCAGTTTTGTTGTTGAAGAAACTCTTGTGTTTTCCGACCGATGTGCTTTTTTTTTTTTTTGGCTGGTCGAGTTGGTTGGTTCAGCCCCTGGACTGCTTGGGTGCCAACCTGCTAACCAGGCCCCATCCTTGTCTGGTGTGCCCCTCCCCCACCCCACTGTTCATTCCTTCATTGTGTCCACTAGATGCCCATGGTGCTATGCTCTGGCCAGGGCCCTGGACCTCCTTTCAGCTCACCCTGCATGACCTCTTGGCAGCCACCCCTCTGGTCTCTGTATCAGGCCCAGCTGGGTTCAGCTGCTGGTAGTAGGTGCCAGTCCCAGGGGCCAGCGGTCCTGGCTGGACCTGTGTGTCTCACCTTGGCCCCTTGCTCTCCTCAGAGCCGAGTGAGGGTGACTGCTCCTCATGGCACAAGCCAGCTGCTGGTGCTCTGCACTCCAGCAGTACGATGGCCCCGCTCTCCTGCTAGCTAGAAGCCAGGTTCTATGCTCTCTTGGTCCCAGGCCATGCAGACACTTGGGTAGTCTGCCTTTGCTGTGCCTGCTGCTGCCCGGTCCAGATTCTGCCAGCCCTGGGCTGATGCTGCAGCGATCTGTAGTGCCCTTCTGCATGCCAGCAGGGCCAGCTCTCTGACCCACCCTCAGGGGCCCAGTCTATGCAGAAAGCTGTAGAATAGCCAAAAAAGTGTTCTACCCGTTGTGTGGGACTTTCTAGCCCTCATAGGACTCCCCCAGATATCTAGAACAGAATTTTGGGAGGGTCTGTCTTCCTGTAGCCCCCAGCTGGTCTCGCCTCAATCTTGCAGAGATCGGCATCTGCCTCCTGAGTCTGGGATTAAAGGCATGTGCCCCCATTCCTGACTTTAGAACAGAATTGTGTGTCTTGCTTGTGGACTCTTAATGTTTCCCCTCTAGTGCAAGGTAGGCGTAAGTATGGGTGAGCTTTTTGTGACAGGTGCCCCCACTCCCTGCCGGAGCTGAACCCTCTATCCGTGGTATTGACTTTCATAGTGAAGTTACTCTTGGGTTCATTGGTTTCCAAGCACAATGTCTGATATCAGGTAGGTGCCTGGTGAGCCCTGAGTGAAAGGTAGACATTGAAAGCTAGACATTGATCAAGAAACTCATGGGAGGGTGGAGATGTGGACCAGTAACTGGCCAGTCAGAGAGATGATCACCAGCTCAGTGTCCAGGGGAAACCAGTCACATGTGTACCTGGGGAGTCTGTGTCTGTTGAGGTTAGCACCAACACACTGACTTACTGGTAGTCTGCTGTCGGGGACTAGACCAGAGTGATGCTTTGGCATGTGCCACAAAGACATGTGTGACATGTATGAGATTGTTTTCACTGCAGAGTGTCAATGTGAATTTTATTTTTAAGGATGGAAAAATCGAAGCAGAAGATTTCACTAGCAGGTTATACCGAGAACTTAATTCTTCACCTCAACCTTACCTTGTGCCTTTCCTGAAGGTAATTGAAAGCTTGTGGTACAGTCTTGGGTCCAGTCTGGGCATGGGGAGCACAAATACTACTGGCTGAGCGATGACCATCTTGTGTCCTGGGGCAGCATGCTGGATTTTCTGGATTTTCTGTCCAGAAAAGGGGCTTTCCAGCAAAGCTGAGCCTCCAGCTGCCGTTCAGTTCTGACGAACTCTACTGCATAAGGGCCAGTGCTACCTGTGGAGAGGGGCTGGCTTCCAGAAGCAGCCTGCGGACCAGCCAGTGCCGGGTCCTCTCATAGACTGCCATTGCTCTTACCACGGTTTACAGATTTCCAGAAAATACTAATTTTTTTGTTTAGTTGTTTTTTAAACAAATTTTAGGGGGCTGGAGAGATTGCTTTTACAGAGGACCCAGGTTCGATTCCCAGCACCCACACACGGCTATGAACCATCCTTGACTCCAGTTCCAGGGGGAATCCAAAGCCCTCTTCTGACCTCTGTGGCATTGCACGACACAGCTGCACTCACATACATGCAGGCAATACACTCATACACATAAAATAAAAATAATAAAAAAACCCAAAAAATTTTAGTCAGTTCTTACTAAGAAAGTCCCTTTGATAACTGTGGTTAGAGTTTAGTGACATCTGGGACTATTGGTTCCCAGTGTCCGTAGATGCTCACTGAAGTCATAGTGGCTGTGAGATTTTCTCTAAAAGTTTGTGTTTCTGAAATTTTTTTTGGGAGGGAATGGTCTTTTTGAGACAGGGTCTCCCTGTAGCCCCAGCTGTCCTGGAACTCACTATGTAGACTAGGCTGGCCTTGAACTCACAGAGATCCGCCTGCCTCTGTCTCCCAAGTGCTGGGATTAAAGGTGTGTGCCACCACTCCCGGTAGTTTCTGAAATTTTAAAAAAATATTTCATGTGTGTGTGTGTGTTATGCCTGCACATATGTAATGTGCCAGTGTCGTGCAATGCCCTCAGAGGTCAGAAAAGGGGGTCGGATTCCCTGGATCTGGAGTTTCAGATGGTTGTTAGCTGTCATGTGGGTGCTGGGAATTGAACCTGGGTCCTGTGTAAGAACAACTAGTGTTCTTAACTGCTGAGCGATGTCTCCAGCCCCTGCTTCTGAATTTTTAAAAAATTTTTATTTTATGTATATGAGTTTTTGTCTGAATGTAAGTGCATCCATGAGTGAAGTGCCTGAGGAGGTCAGAAGAGGACATGGGATCCCCTGGAACTGGAGTTACAGATGGCTGTTAGCTACCATGTGGATACTGGGAATTGAACCCAGGTCCTGTCCTATACAAGGGCAGCTAGTGCTCTTAACCACTGAGCCATCTCTCCAGCCCCATGTTTCTGGTTGTGAGCCTGAGCCTTCAACAGTTGTGCTAGCTTTCTAGCCCAGCCCTGTGCTTCTGAATTTTTAAGAACGTAAACACATTGGTGCTTGAACGGCCCCTGACGTCACTCGTCTCTCTTTCTTCAGAGGAGCTTACCCGCCTTGAGACAGCTGACCCCCGACTCCGCGGCCTTCATCCAGCAGAGCCAGCAGCAGCAGCCACCCGCCTCGCAGGCTACCACCGCGCTCACAGCTGTGGTGCTGAGCAGTTCGGTGCAGCGCACAGCTGGGAAGACAGCCGCCTCGGTGACCAGCGCCCTCCAGCCCCCTGTCATCAGCCTCACGCAGCCCACACAGGTTGGCGTTGGCAAGCAGGCACCACCCGCACCACTGGTATGAAGGCGCGGGCCTCGCATGGTGCTCCGGCCAGCCCCACTATGCTGCTTGACTCAGCAGCCCCTTTCTGGAAGGAACAGGCAGGGAAGCTCCCGCTGGAAAGAAGCGCGGTTGTTTCCTTAATTAAAACATGAGCTAGAGGCCGAGGCCCGTGGCTTGGTATGTCACTTCTTATAGAATGTAGTGAGCTTCTTGGCCCACTTGCTCGCAGGCTTGTCACCTGGTTGGTGGGTGTTTCTGTTCAGAGACACAGGGTGTTCAGTGAGCTTCTTAGAATGCCCTCTGGATTGAGAGAGATAGCCTGAATGTGAGAACCTTTGGGTTGGGGCGGGAGATGGGCTGGGCTTTTGCTTTCTCAGGGTGGCAGCGACTGGTGCTGACAGTGCTGTCTGCAAGTCAGGGGAAGCTGTGGCCTGGCAGTTGGATGCAGCTTTCTCCACGTCCCTGCACTAGAGGCAGGATGGCTTTCTGAGAGTGTGTTCTACGTTTCCCCCTGCTATAGGCAGCATGGGCTCACCTAGAAAGGCAGACTTCAGAGGCGGCATAGTAGACGTTGTAGAGCCTTTACCTAGCGTTTATGAAGCCTGGGGTTCAGTTCCCAGCACTGAGGGAAAAGGCACAATGGTTTGAAGTCTTATAAATGCAGCTTAAAATACAAGCTCGTGCAGAGGCCATGTCCTCTCGTCGTAGTCGGTACATACAGTGCTCTGTGTGGAGGGTAGAGACTTGGGTCAGGGTAGACTCCTTAGGGTGCTAGCTTACCTTCTGTAGAACTTGCCTTTGTCTTGACTTTATTGGTAGCAAGGACTCGGGTGGAGGCCACATGTATGAGCGGGGTTTCTTTGCGCCCCTGACCCCTGGTCAGGGATGGCTGGGTCTTTTGCTTTCACATAGTTCCAGTTCAGCAGTCAGCACACTGATTTACCCAGAAGGCAGGTCTGTGGAGGGACTTGCTGGGCCTCTTTGTTGTGAGGCTCTGGCTTTTGGTGCTTGGTTTTGTCAGTGGCATAATGAGCCAGGCCTTGAGTGCTAGGATGACAGGTGGGCCCATCATACTGCTTGCTTGTGCTGGTCAGTTTCAACTGTCAGCTTGACCCAACCTCCTGGAATCATCTGGGAAGAGAGTCTTTTTTCTTTCTTTCTTTCTTTCTTTCTTTTTTTAAAATTAATTAATTTATTTATTTTGATTGGGATTGCATTGAATCTACTGGGAAGAGCGCCTTAATGAGGAGTTATTTAGAGCAGGTTGGCCTGTGGGTATGTCTGTGAGGGATTGCCTTGATTGTTAGTTGATGTAGGAGGACCTACCCTGAATGTGAGTGGCACCTGTTCATGGGCTGGGCCAGAACTGTCTAAGAGTTTGCTGAGCATAGGCAGCATGGTACACATTCACTTCTCTCTGCTCTCGGCTGGGTGTGCTATGACCAGCTACCTCAGGCTCCTGCCTCTGTGACGTCCCTGCATTTAGAGACTGTAACCTGGAATTGTCAGGCAGATTGTCAGGATCTATTATCATAACAACAGGAATGAAGCTAGAACATTGCTCTTTAATTTTATAAATATGAGCAGAGTGTGTTCAGCAGCCTGGCTACTGCTGTTTGCTCTCCCCCACCCCCACCCACAGGCTTCTCCTGTGTACACATACTCAGTGGGCTCCTCAGTGGCAAGCCCTGGTCTGAGCTGCCTGGGGCTTGTTCTGTCTGGTGTGAGTCGTTCTTTGCTGCAGAAATGGTTCCAGTGCAGGCCACCATCCTAGTTCCTTGCAGGTGTCCCAGTGACATGGGGGTGTGCCAGTGAAAGTGCATTTTTCCCTTTAGAGTTGAGTTTAAACCTCGGACTTCATGAATCCTATGTAGTAGTCACTCTGCTACTGAACTATTGAACCACACTTCCAGCCACACAGAGGCTTCTTTGCAAACACTGGAAGGCTTAAGAATAACTAAAACTCCTAACCCAGAGATTTATGGTCAGGTTGTCAAGGCTTCCTAGGGACAGGCCAGAGCCTAGTAAGCGCCTAAGGTGACAGGCAAGGCTGCAGAGCTAAGCAGGTCCTGGAGTATGGGGACTGGCCCAAGGTCCTTGGCCCAAAGCACAGTTCACAAAGTAACGAGGGAGCAGGCCATTCCAGGACATAGGGCTCACTCAGTTCAGGACAGGACTTGGAAGCTCAGCTCCACTCCAGAAGAGACCATCTGATCTTCCTATGAACATGTAGAAGAGCTATGAACATTTGACCCGTGGCCGCCAGTGGGGAGAGGTCTGTGCTCTGTGTGGGGTCTGAGCTCAGCATACTGCCATCCAGGACAGGCCTGCAGCCCAGTGCAGGTCCTGAGTGACCTGTGCTTAGTGTGCTTGTGCTGTACTGGGCCTGCTGTGGCTCCGTTCTGTCTCTGCCAGATTCTCTTGAGGCTATGTGTAGAGTACCAGCCTGGGGCCTGCTGGGCCAGGCTTCTCTGCAGACCCAGGCTGAGGTGCACATCTGGCCTTCCTGGAGCTTCTGGCAGGACAGGGGAGGGAATAGGGCTGCTGAAGGGAATGGCTGGCTTTGTGGTCCAGCACGGTAGCCCTGGGGTGTGCTCATGCACTGTGCTGGCTGTGTCCCAGGTGATCCAGCAGCCCCCGAAGCCTGGAGCCTTGATCCGGCCCCCGCAGGTGACCTTGACGCAGACACCTATGGTCGCTTTGCGGCAGCCTCACAACCGGATCATGCTCACCACACCGCAGCAGATCCAGCTGAACCAGCTGCAGCCAGGTGAGGGCTCGGCTGCTGCGGCCCAGGACCGCCTAATCCTGGAGCTGGCCAGCACTGGGCCAGTACTTGATTTCATTTAATCACTGTGGTAAAGTTCATGTGACGAACACCCCAGCAGCTCCATGTGTAAAGCTGTGCAGCCATTACCCCTGTTGGTATGGTTTTTAAATGGTATGATTTTGGTATGTGTGGTCTAGCATTAGATCACAGACCCTCTAGCTGCCTTGGCCCCTGTCCTCCAGCCAGGCCCCACCCCTGCAGCTCCCTGGCGGTCTCTCTTCTCTTTCCCTCTGGGGCAGAGGTCACGAAAAGGCACTGCTGTGCTGTGGCCTTATAGCCTCTTCCCCCAGCATCAGGACAGGTTTGTGTTCCTGACCAGTCAAGAACTGGTCAGATCCTACTCTCCCACCCCTCAAAACCTGTAAGAGCCAGAAACCCCCTTTGTCAGGATTTGAAGGGAATGCACTCTCCCTTGAGGCCTCTTACGTTGCCTGTGGTGAGATGGTCTGTGTCCCCAGTGCGGCCCTACTTCACAGCCCATTCACCCCCCAAAGCACATTCTGAAGGGTGGTTTTGTGTCAGCTCCTTTTCACTCACAGATCTGCTCGTCTTTAGGTCATGAACATCTTTTCTCTTCCTTTCAGCAGTGTTTTACTGTGTTGCCCAGGCTGTGAATTCCTGGGCTCCAGTAATTCTCCTCCCTCAGCCTTCTAGTTGAGACCATAGATACTGCCATGCCTGCTCACTTTTAGCCTGTCAGTAATCATCCCTGGACCTGAAAGCTGAGGAGGTACAGGAGGGTGGATGCTTGAAACATTCAACAGAAACTTTTTTTTAACTTGTTTTAAACTTAAAATTTTTAGCTTTACTTTATCTTCAGTTTTTGTTGTAAATTACATCCTTGAGAATTTTAACTTAGCCACAGGAACGTGTGCACAGCCATTGTAAAGGCACCAAGTGCTCTGTGGAGCTCACACTACTGTGGAGGGAGCTGGATGGAGCTGGGATATAGGGGTAATCTAGCATTACCTCTCTTGGATATGTACTGTTAATTTCCCTTAGTCAGTCTGTCTGCCTTCCTCTCTCTCTCTCTCTCTCTCTCTCTCTCTCTCTCTCTCTCTCTGTCTCTGTCTCTCTCTCTCTCTGTCTCTCTCTGTCTCTGTCTCTGTCGCTCTCTCTGTCTCGCCCCTTCTCTCCCTTCCCACCCTTCTCCCTCTTGCCCTCTTCATATTAGAATGTGCTCTCCCTTAGGAGTTTTTTTTTGTTTGTTTTTAAATCTTTTTGAGACAGGGTCTCACTGTAGCCCCAGCTGTCCTGGAACTCACTATGTAGACCAGGCTGGCTTTCACCTCACAGAGATCCGCCTGCCTCTGCCTCACGAGTGCTGGGATTAAAAATGTGTGCCACCACCCCCAGCAGGAATTTTTTTTTTAATTTGAGAATTTCAAACATGTTTACAAAGTGTTTTGATTAAATCATCCACACAGTTCCGCTCCCCCAGCTCCCTCCCTCCCTCCCAACTTCATGCACTTTCTATTTTTTTTTTTTTTTCTCATTGCAGCTGGTTTGTTTGTTTGTTTGTTTGAAGCAGGGTCTCCCTGTAGCCCCAGCTGTCCTGGAACTCACTATGTAGACCAGGCTGGCCTTGAACTCACAGAGATCCGCCTGCCTCTGCCTCCCAAGTGCTGGGACTACAGGCATGCGCCACCACGCCCGGCACTTTCTATTTTTTTAAATCACAGCGTCCAGTTGGTCTTGCCAGTCTGTGCACAGGTGTAGGGCCGTCCACTGGAGCATGAGCAATCTACCCGAGGCTTGACTCCTTGGGGAGAACCGACTCCTTCTCCTAGCAGCCATCAGCTTCTAGGAGCTCCTCAGCTACAGAGGGGTTGTCAGCCCCTCCCCCAGCCATGTTAAGACTTTGACTGGCTTGATCTTATTGATGGTCTTGAGCACGTAGTTACAGCTGCTGTGAGTTCATAATCCAATGAGCTGCTCATGTTGGATACAGTTTCCCAGCAGTCCCCACAACCTCTGGCTCTTAGTCTTTCTGCTCTCTCTCTCTTCCACGATGATCCCTGAGCCTTGGGGGAGGGGCTGGTGTAGGTGTCCCATGTAGGGAGCACCCCGTCTCCTGTTTCTGCAGTTTGACTTGCCACTTAAATTTTTTTTGCATTTATTTATGTGTATATGTGTTTTGCTGGCATGTATATAAGTGTACCCCTGTGTGCATTTCCCACAGAGGCCAGAAGAGGGGGTCAGATACCTTGGAACTGGTTGTTAGCCATCATGTGGGTGCTGGGAACCAAACTAGGGTCTCTGCAAGAGCAGCCATTGCTTGTAACTGCTGAGCCATCTCTTCAGCTCCCAACTTAAAACTTAAAAAAAATAGCCAGGCGTGGTGGTGCACACCTTTAGTTCCAGCACTTAGGAGGCAGAGGCAGGTGGATCTCTGTGAGTTCAAGGCTAGCCTGGTCTACAAAGTGAGTTCCAGGCCAGCTGGGCTACAGGGAAAACCCTGTCTCAAAAAGACCAAAAAAAAAAAAAAAAAAAAAAACTTAAAAAATTTATGACATGGGGCGTGGTAGTACACACCTTTAGTCCCCTCACTGGGAAGGCAGAGGCAGGCGGATCTCTGTGAGATGGAGGCCGGCCTAGTCTACATAGTAAGTTCCAGGCCAGCTGGGACTATGCCCTCCACCCCCAAAAAAGTATGTGTGTGTCTGTGTGTATGTGCATATGAGTGCAGGTGATGATAGAGTCCAGAGGAAGGCCCAGATCCCCTGAAGTGTAGTTATCAGTGGTTGTGAGCCATATGACATGGATGCTGGAAATTGAACTCAGGACCTCTGGAAAAGCAGTACAAGCTCTTAACTGCCGACTCACCTCTCAAACCCTGCAACGTAAACTTAGAGCAGTTTAGAGCTGTGGGCTCAGTTTTGAGAACTTCATTGTAGCTAGTAAGCAGGTGACAGTTTCTCCCTGGGGCTCATAAGCTGGAGCAAGCCAGGCTTCTGGTAACAGCCTCTTGTCTCCACTGTGTCTTTTGCTTCGCAGTCCCTGTGGTGAAACCTACCATGTTACCTGGAACCAAAGCCCTTTCTACGGTATCTGCACAAGCAGCCGCCGCACAGAGAAACAAGCTCAAGGAGCCAGGGGGAGGCTCCTTTCGGTAAGGATGGAGCCTGTGTACTTCGGGGAGACCTGGGGGGAGCGCAAGTTGTGGTTCTCCACCTTGCTTTAGGGTCTTGGTCCTTCTGCCTGCAGCAGCTGACCTCACATCTCCCAGTGTGTGCTTCCCACTGTGGTTGGGGCTTGGGGGTTTGCTTCAGGAGTGGAGAACAGGTCAGCTGACTTGGTGTGAACACAGTGTACTGTTACTACCATTCATAACACAGATACCCCGCACCACACCACCTGCTCACCTTTGGTACTTTGTCTTGTCTGTTGATGAACAGCCAGCATGAGCAGCACTGTGGCCTGAGGTTCTCATAGAAATGCACTAGAGCCTGTAGAATGACCCTTGTTGTGCCTGAGCAGTGGACAGTGTACACATTGTAGAGGAGACTCTGGGCATTTCCGAAGCTGGCAGGTGGGGCTGGGTGGGGGGGGGGGGGGGGGGGGGGGGCCGTAGTGGCCCTGCAGGGTAAGGAGCGGCAGGGCAGGGCAGGACCCGAGTTCTGTCACCTAAGTGGATGGGAGGAGACAAGGTGCACATACAGCAGAAAAGCCCCAGAGTACAGTCTCCAGGGTGACGTAGTTAGTGGCTATTGAAGAAGGGAACTGGAGATGGGGCATAGTGGTAAGCCTAGGGTTAGCTGGCATGGGAGCCATATGCAGGAGCTGCAGATGGTGGTTAAAGCTCCTAGGTTGGTCTGCCGGAAGAGCCAGGACAAACTGCTAGTGTGCATTGGGATCTTGTCTTCTAAAAGCCATTTGCAACATAAAGCCAGTGAGACTCTTCAGAAACATGCCAACTCTAGAGCAGTAATAAAAGGCAGAGTGAGCTGTGACCACCTCATACCAGAGCAGGCCTCACGTAGGGGCACGAGTTTTGGATCGGCCTCCTCCCTGTAGCCCCCAGGCTAGGGTATGACATGAACAGTGAGCATCAGGCAGTACAGGGCCACAAGCCTGGGTAGGCATGAGCTCCCGTGTTACTTGGAGGCAGCAGGAAGGTTGAGTATGTGCCTCAGAGCGCCTCCAAGTACCAGTTAACCCCAGCGCGGTGCTGAGAGAGCCTCCAAAGTACCAGTTACCCCAGCACGGTGCTCAGAGCGCACGTGGCAGCAGGCAGCTGGGAGGGGCATTGTGACTTGACAGAGCCCTGTCAAGGGTCAGGCTGGAAGGAGAGTGTGCCTCCCACAGCTAGCTTATGACCTCCTTTGTGCCAAGGACACATGAGGGTCAAGGAAAAACTGAGTGGTATTCATCGAGGACCTGTTTCTAGGGTGTGGACGTTGTATTGGAGAGATGATGGGAAGAGTGGCCACTTGTGGACAGGTTGCCGCATAGGACTACCTCCACAGGCACATCCAGAAAGCACAAACAAGTATCTGTCTGGTAGTGGGGAATTGGGTTGGTAGTGCTCCGTCATGGCTCAGGGTTAGCATTCTTCCTTTACCTGCTCTGAGGACTTGTGATTGTAACTGAAGAAATTAATGCTGACTGAAAATTATATCATCTATTTATTTACTTAGTTAGAGACAGGGTCTTCCTGTAGCCCCAGCTGGCCTAGAACTCACTATTTAGATCAGGCTGGCCTTGAGCTCACAGAGATCCACCTGCCTCTGCCTCCTGAGTGCTGGGATCAAAGGCGTGTGCCACCACGCCTGGCTGAAATTTCTTTGAAGGTTTCAGGTGATGTGGCATGCAATCCTCAAAGCAGCAGGTGGTATTCTGGGTTTTGTTTTCTCTAAATGTGGTGTGGACGGTGCTCGCACAGCCCTGTGTGGATTTAGTCCAGCCTTGACTCCGTACAGCTCTTCCTTTGAGCAGTTCAATTTTAAAGCAAGGCAACAAGACACCTTCAGACAGCAGGACACGCCAGAGCAGGAGCCCGGAGGACCCAGTGCCTGCTTTCTGGGGATTCCCCCCGGCCTTGCTTGTGTCCACCTCAGTCAGAACCACCTCAGTGAGCTGTGACTTCTTCTTCCAGCAACAATGATTTGTTCCTCTCCTGTCCAGGGATGATGACGACATCAATGATGTTGCATCCATGGCCGGAGTGAACCTGTCTGAAGAAAGTGCAAGAATATTGGCCACAAACTCTGAGTTGGTGGGAACACTGACTCGATCCTGTAAGGACGACACCTTCCTCCTCCCCGCACCTTTGCAGAGGAGGATATTGGAAATAGGTAGGGCTGTACCTGAGGCTACCATGGGGTTTTCACTGTCTACACCTGGGTCTTCTGTGACTTCTGACTGAGACTTGGCACGGCCCTTCTGCAGCGGCTCCACTGGGTGTGTGGGCCACGGGTGAACGTTCCCTCTGCCTTGTCTTGGGCTTTCCCAATGGTGGCTCCCTGGACATGTGGCCCCCATGCCTTTTTTCTGGGCTCACCCCAGTAGTAACTCCACTGACCATAGGGGCCACAAGTGAGCAGGCCGTCTCCCTTGTCTTGGTCTTGTCTGTTGTGACTTCACTGGTGGGTGATGATGGTTGTCAGGTAATGAAAAGAGTGGGCACGATGACCACTTGGGCTGCCCTGGATCACGCGAAGTAGTAACCGGTGGTGAGAGAAGCCCAAATGGAGGAAGGACAGAGCTGGGTAAGTGAATTGAAAGTGCGCTCTTTCTGCCTGGCCTGCAGGTAAAAAGCACGGCATCACGGAACTGCATCCAGACGTAGTGAGTTACGTGTCCCATGCTACACAGCAAAGGCTACAGAACCTTGTAGAAAAAATATCTGAAACGGCTCAGCAAAAAAACTTCTCTTACAAGGTAATGGAGCTGTTTTCCCGAGGAGAGAGTTGTCAGCTCCTGACAAGGCTACCTGGACAGAGGATCCGGTGCCCCGTGTGCTCCCTGCGCATGTTCCCTCAGCCACACACACACACGGTGCCTTCAGCCAGGGCTGGGGAAGGAGGATGGGGCTCTGCAGGAATGCTCTGCGGGATCGTGCCCTGGAAGACCAGCCTGCCGGCTTAGAAAATGATGGAGTCTTCCACTCTCATTCCATCCAGGGTGCCCAGCACCTGCAGCCGGGCCCTTCTCAGGGCCTCAGAGCCTGAGGCAGCTGTGGCCCTGTTCATGAAGTGAATTTTCTAGGCCAAACGTGCCTCTCAGCAGTTGCACAGATGCCGCTTGAAGGCCACGGTGAGCAGCGGTCCCTGCTCCCTGGGCCAGTGCCTGTGCCTTCATAGCAGCTTGAGGGTGAATAGTCAACCTTAAAAAGAGAAGGCTTGGCAGTCAAAAGCATATTCTCTTCCAAAGGACCTGAGTTTGATTCCCAACACCCAGGTCATGTGGCTCACAACTGCCTATAACTCCAGCTCCAGGGGAATCCAGTGCTTCTGGCCACCACAGGCACCTATACCCCACATACACATAATATAAATAAATCCTTAAAAACTGTGTTAAAGCAGAAAGACTTAAATGATGCTTAAAAATTATCAAAGCATATCATCAAGTGGAAATCTGCCGTGGGGCCCCTTGGTAACCCCAGTGAGACTTTCCCCTGTTTATGGCATCCTGGAGCAAGATGTGAGGAGGCCGCATTTACCGCCTGCGTGGGAACTGGGTGCAGACTCTCCTGCTGTACAAGGCGCATCTTTGCTGAGCTCCCAAATTCGTGACAGACAGTGTTTTATTTTTTTTGTAGGATGATGACAGATATGAGCAAGCAAGTGATGTCCGGGCTCAGCTCAAATTCTTTGAACAGCTCGATCAGATTGAAAAGCAGAGGAAAGATGAACAGGAGAGGGAAATCCTGATGCGGGCAGCAAAGGCAAGTGCAGCGTTGAGCTCGGGCTCAGCCTTCCTTCGTCCTCTCTGAGACACTGACCCAAGCACGCTGGGTTCTCAGTGGCCTGGAAGAGCAGCTGTTGGGAGCAGACTGGGCAGAGAAAAGGTTGGAGACTTGAAATACCTGTAAAATACAGGGCTTCTTAGGGTTCTGACACCTCACCTCGACTCTCCAGCTGCATCCGTTGTCATAGAAATGCAGGTGTGGCGTGGACCCCTTTTTGGGCCCCAGCTGTGGCTCTGGGTTGGTTGCTCTTCAGCCCAGAACACTCAAAGCCAAGTGTTGGGTCCCTATTTATTCATGATTAGAGTCATCCAGGATCAGAACCCCTCTGTGTTCTGTGCAATGAGAGGGGCAGACTTTGGTGGCTGAAAGACACCCCATACCAGTTCTGAGCCCAGGGCCCTATGAGGCCCTGTCCTGGCCGGCTCCTCCCATGCAACATTGAGTCAGAGACACCTAACAAACGAGCAGCTGTGTACTAAAAGATTCTCTCTGTGTGCCTGGATGGTATTGATTTTCTTAAAAAATAATGGCTTTTTTCCTGTGGTGTACAATCCAACTCTTCACCTTTTGAGTGTAAGCACTTAGAAGATTTAGCATGCATTCTGTCATAGGACCAGATGCTGAGTGTGAATATGGTAACATTGATTAAATGATGCCTATTTGCTGGGTGTGGTGGCACATGCCTTTAGTCCCAGCACTGGGGAGGCAGAGGCAGGTGGATCACTGTGAGATCGAGGCCAGCCTGGTCTACATAGTGAGTTCTCACTGAGGACCCTGTCTCAAAACAAAACAAAAAACCAACCACAATAAAAAAGACGCATAAGTGAGGTACAGCTCGCTTTCTTGTCTCCTTTCAAAAACAGTCTCGGTCCAGACAGGAAGACCCAGAACAGTTGAGGTTGAAGCAGAAAGCGAAAGAGGTGAGCTTCCCGTTTGAACCCCGCCGAACTTGAAGTTCCTGTTCATCCCAGATGCCTGACAGAAAAGAGTTAAGAAAACCATGGAGTTTCTGAACCTGGGAGTTACGTCACTCCTTAAGATGTCTCAGTGTTGAATGGTACTGTCCTCACGGGCTTTTCCTGTGCAGTTTGTATTTGGCTTGTAAGATTCATGGAGACTTCTGAGTGGGTTTGAGTTTACTTAACTTGTTTTAATTTTCTGAGTGTTTTAAGGTAAGCTATTTTTAAAAAATTCTTCATTTTTATGGTTGCACACAAGTTTTTAGTTTAAGAAGCTCAGACATTAAAGAAATTGTAACTTAGAAAACTTGAGAGTCTTTTGATAGTTGTGTATTTCTCACAGTAAGTAAAATCGTCCGAGAACAACGGCTCTTGCTTCCTTCCCACACAAAGATGCAGCAGCAGGAGCTGGCACAGATGCGACAGCGTGACGCCAACCTCACCGCGCTGGCGGCAATTGGGCCCAGGAAAAAGAGGAAAGTGGACTGTGCTGGGCCGGGATCTGGAGCCGAGGTACAGCAGACTGTGGGGCTGAGGTCTGGAAGGGACTGGGAGAACGTCAGAGCTGCCTTCCTCGGGTAGTCACATCAGAACACACTCTGCCCTTCCATGCGGTCTCACCTTCCTGGGAGTCTTGATTTTGCATTTTAAACTTGACATTCAGATCAGCTTATTTGTGGGCATCACGTGAGCTAAAGCTTCTTTGCCTAAGTACACCATGGCTGGCTCTGATGAGGTTCAGACTGACTTTGAGATGCATCGGGGAGTGACTCAGGATTGGCTTTAATGGGGAAGCTGCTGGAGGGCTGGTGACCCGGAGGAGCTGCTGCCGTTTCCCTGAGCCCAAATTCAGCGGCTGTTCTGTCTTATACTCCAGTGGTTACGGACCAACCTTAGCATACTGCTTCCTTTGCTTTAACCTACTAATTGTCCTTTGGATTTTAGGGAGAACAAAGCAGTCTTCTCTGTTTGCCCCCTTGGTTGCTGTGGTCCATTTCCGGTGCTCTCTTTCTTCCTAAGGATCTAGGTTCTGTGCACCATGAGTCCCTGTGGCTCAGAGGCTGGTCAGCCTCCGGATGCCTCCTGGATCCTTGTCTCTGCTTGCGCTTGCTTCAGCCGGTTGTGTCATCCTTACCTGCCAGGGCTCTTTTCCCTGATTGGAGAACTGTAGGTTGGTACCAGCTTTTCTTCCTGCAGAACTCGAAGGATGCTGTCGGCCCTCGTCTGGGGCCTGGTGTAAAGCTCAGCTTCACCCCCTGCCCGTCCTGCATCTTCCTTCTCTGACTGCTGTGAGACTTCCGGCCTTTCGTTGGGAAGTTTACTTTGTGATTAGTTGGGTCTCTGGATGCCTGGCCTGCTTCAGTGTTCTGAACTGTTTAGAGCCACGCATGGGCAGTGCTGTAGATGGCACGTGGGGTGCCTTGGCCATTGCTTCAGAAGTGTTTCTGTCAGATCTGCCTTCCTGTGTCTTGCGTTACACGTGCTCGGCCGGCCGGCGCTGCCTCGTGGGTCCTGGCGCCTGTGTCGGTGGCTGCAGCGTCCTCCTCGTTGCCCTTCACATTGGAGCGTTTCTGTTGCCTCTGTCTTCAGGTTCTTTGACCAGATGGGAGTTCTGCTGTGTCCAGTTGGTTGTTCGGCTCCAGTGATGTTCTCCTTTACCAGTGTACGCTTCTGTTTACGATGTCTGTTGGGGTCTTTGATCTCTGTCTGGTTAGCGGCATACTTCCTTGTCTACCCATTTGTGGAGACCAGACTTTCCCAAAGTCTCTGAACACATAGTTCTCACCAGGTCCCAGCTTCGGTTTCCACTCAGTGCTCTCCTCATCCGTGGACCGCTTTCCTGTTTCACTGCCTGTATCTAGTGACTGGTGCCTGAATGCTGGGAATTGTGGGTCACACGTGAACAGGCCCTGGGTGTTTTCCTCTGGAAAGTGGACTCTTGCTTTAGCAGGCCCTCTGTCAGTGGCTGATGGTCTCGGACTGGTCTTGGATTTGCCTTTCATTCTGTGTTAGTAAGACTCTGTGGTACGAAGGGGCTCCCCCTCTCATCCAACCCCTTCTGCCGGGGTGTGTCTTTAGGCTCCGTTAGGGTGGATCTTAATAGGGGTGCCACCTTGTTCCTGGAGATGGCCTTTCTGGCACCTCACACTGACCCTGCTTTCTCCCTTTGCCTCAGCGCCATTGCAGCCTCTGTGCTGTGCTCAGACAGTTGTGTTCTGCTCTGCAGTACGCAGGTCGGCTGGGACCAGATTCAGCGTAGTGACTTCAGCAGGGCAGTGCTGCCCTTCCCGGGACTGTTGACCCTGTCCTTAGACCTCAGTAGTAGGCCTTCCTTGCCCTAGCGGCACTGGTGACTCCCTGAGCAGTACCCGGTGTGGAGATGGTGCTTTGGCAAGGGATGTCCCAGAGTTCAGGGATCCCCCATAAGTGTAGGTAAAAATGCTAGGGGTTGGGTAGGAACACCAGGCAGGAATCTTTGCAAATACATGGCTGAGGTGTGTGCTCTGTGGTTCCTAGGTGCGTCTGGATGCTCAGCCAGGGCCCTGACTGCTGTGAAGGCCGAACTGGTTTTGAGGAGACCAGGCTGGTTTTGCTGGTGTGACTTCTCAGCAAGAGCCTGAAGTTTAGCCTGGCCTGCAGGTGTGAGGCCTATAAAGCCCACCCAGAAACCTAGTTTAAAGCCAAGAAATACCATCCTGGGTAGAACCAGCAGGCCCTGAGAATGCCATTGGGGTAGTTAAAAGATAGTAATGTACTTTTTTGCTGGATTATCCCAAGGTGTAGACCTTTCAGTCCATCACCCAGAGAATTAGGACTTTGCCAACTGCCTAGGAAGCCCCCGTGTGTCCTTACCTCACCCCAGCTCCCTCGCCCCACATTTCCCAGTCCCTGACTACCCTCCTAAAGCAGCTGCTGTTGTGAGACCAGACCCCATGTGGGAAGAAGTGTGTTTACAGGGAGGCCCAGCTGTGTAGTTCAGGCCGCATTGCCCTTGTCTCTTTTCTTTAAGTCTCTTTAAAAATCTGCAGTGTCACACATACATATACATACATGTATACACACGTGCTTGGTTCTTCCCTGGCAAGGTGAGACTGGATTGTTTGATGTTCCCACCTAGAGTGCTGGTGATGCCCTGGTGGCACAGTCCAGTGTGTGCCTCTGTCCCTGGGCCGCTTGCACCCGCCTGACCCAACAACGCTGGGCTAGGCTTTTCTGTGGAGAGGCCCTTAGGGGATGATGGCTCTTCTCTGTGATGCTTGGCATCTGGAACCCTTGTTTTCTCAAGCCTGCGAAACCAGTGCTGCTTTGATCTCAAGTCTTGGTGTATGACAAGCCATTTTCTTTGTCTTTTTTTTTTAATTGGAGTTATTTCATAAGTGGACCTTCCTTTGCCCCCTGTAGCAAAGACATGACAAATGCCCAATGTTTCCTTCATCTCCTGACTTAAAGTGACAAAGTGACTCTGTCACACCTTTATAAAGTTATGGAATTGAATATACCTCATGGGTTCTAGTCTGTTGTAGTTCAGACTGTGCCATCTGGCCAGTGGTGGTGACATTGTCAGGGTGGCTCTGAGTTCAGATCTAGTCCAGATAGGACACTGTGTTTTTACCACCTGGTTAAGACGCTCCAGGTTTGTCGGATCTAGAGAAAGAATGGATTGTGTCAGAGTCAGAGAGTGAGACTGGGGTGCTGGCGTCCCTCAAGGTTGGGGAATTCAAAGTCAGAGGGACAAGATTTTGTTCTTTGAGGTAACACAGTTGGCTTTCACATTAAAAGACCTGGTCCTGGGCTCTTCAGAGCTGGAGACCGGAGAGGAGTCCTGGTTCTCACTGGCCAAGGAGTGGGAGAACTGAGTGAACTGCACGCCCTGAGCATGAGAGGCCCGTGTCCAGCAGCCACCACAGCTGCAGACACCTGTTCCTGTGGGCCCTTCCTGTCTCTGCACTGTTTAACATTCTCAAGGCATGGGGCTATGCTGCCATATCTATTTCTGCTTTATTTAATGCTGTCACGGTATTGGCTTGCTGAGTCTCAGCCCTCTCAGCCTCCCCAGAGGCGGCGGCAGCCTGTGCCCTTTGTACCTGGCTGGCTTCTCACCTGAGCACCTTCAGTGCAGTGCTGCAGCTTTTCCCTGGCACGGAGTTGTAAAGTTTTCTGGGGCTGAGGAGGTGGCTGCAGCTATTGCCACACAAGCATGAGGACCTGAGTTGGACCTCCAGCACCACATAGAAGCCAGGTGCTGTGCAATGCACCTGTGAGCTCCACACTGCGGAGCAGAGGCAGGAGGACCCCTGGGGCTTGCTGGCTGGCCAGTGTAGCTGAAGGCAGTGAGCTCCAGGTTCAGAGAGCTCCTGTCTCAGAAAATTAAGGTAAAGAGCAACCAACTTGTGGCTGTGCGCACGTGCACACGGCTCCTGTCATCTTCTGTCTGTCCCACAGCGTTGCTTCTCTGTTCTTACCGTTCCCTTGTTTTCTTTGAGACCGTGTCTCCTGTAGTCCAGACTAGACTAGAAGTTGCTTTGTATTGAGGATGACCTTGTGCTCATCCTCCTGCTCCCCCACTAAGTACCGGGATTACAGGCGTGTGCCGCAACCCTCCACCTGCTTGTGCTCTTTCTAGTGTTTTCCACATGCACTTTTTGTTTCTAAACTTTGTTTCTGAGCTTTGCCAGTTCTAATTCACACTGTTCTTCTGTAACTGTTTGTTTCCTTCATATTTTTAGCTTGTTTTGTACTGAATGTTACGTGCTTTTGTTTATAGAACTCGGGAGCATTAAGTTGAGGGCCTGCACCTGCTAAATGAGCTATCACAGCCCCGGTCCTTTATCCCCTCTGTTCTAAGCTCCTAGGATTCTCCTTGTCTTTCATGACCACGACTCTTGAGAGCTGGTCGATTGTTCGGCATGTTCCCAGCCAGGCTTAGACTCAGCCACACCTTCCCTTGTGACCAGGTGTGGAGTTCATCCTTGTCTAGAATGTCACAGAACCCTCTGTTCACAGTTTCATTCCCACCCTATTGCTCTGCACTGAATCTTCATTGAAGTGGGATCTTCGAGGCTTTGCGACGTGGCGTCACTGCTGGTGTCTGTGGAAGTTCCTGTGCTCACCACATTTCTGGTCTGTGTTCTTGCATCAGCTCAGGTGTGGTGTTTCTGTGTCTGATTTCTCTCTTTCATTATTTAAAATATTTTATTATGCGTATGCATGTATTGCCTGCATGTAGGTAAGTGCACCCGTGTTGTACAATGCCTGCAGGGGACAGAAGAGGCTGTCGGATCCCCTGGGACTGGAGTTACGGACAGTTGTCAGCTGCCATGTGGGTGCTGGGATTCGAACCCCGGTCTTCTGTAAGAACAGCCAGTGTTCTTAACCCCTGAGCCACCTCTCCAGCCCCTCACTTCCATTTTTTAAGTGTGGTTCTGTGACGAGAGCTGACCCTCTTCCCCACGCCTCATTTGTTCAGTGATTCAGTTGCTGTATCTGGGGCTCACTCTGCACACTGTGCTCTT